GAGACAGTTGTAAGCACTGTGTAACTGCCTCGAGGGTGCTTGACCATTTTAACACAACGTGGTGCGATCATCCCCCTTGCGCGGAGTGAGGGTTCTCGACCCCGCACAACATGATCTACTCGACCACCAGTATGGTTACCGCCAAAAAAAAAAACGGAGGTAAAAACACCCCGGTAACCTGGTTGCCGAGCTCACGAAGTGAATTGGCTTGTTTTACAACGTCGTTGCCAAGCGACGAAACCCAATCCCGATGGCAAACACCGGGGGGGGCGGCTTGTTGTACAACGTCGTTGCCAAGCGACGAAAACCCAACCCCAATGGCAAACACCGGGGAAGGGGGGGTGGGTCACGGTCCACGAAAGCGCAGCGACAAAAAATAGAGATATGCGTACGGGGGGACTGTCGCCATAATTAACAGGACGAAAATACAAAGGACAAAAATCACTTCCCAAAGTTACCACTTCGGATACACAAAAGTCAACAGACCTCTGATTGAGCAGCAGCAAGTCATGGATGATCATCGCGCACCTAAACACACTTTCAAACTAGGGCACCACTCAGGACACCTCAAAGCCAACATAGCTCTGACTGACAGCAAGTCATCGATCATCATCGCGCACACCTCAAGTTGTCGCCGGAACTGGCCACGAGGTTGTAACCCTTCTGCCCCTCGGCTCTCCCAAGGTCCCTCAGGAAGTCTTCCCGCGCGCTCCAGGCCACCCTCCAGAGGTCCTCACAGACGGAGCACGGGCTCGTGTGCTTCCCCGTGAACCACGGCAGCGCCAGAGGGTTCTGGTCCTTGGCGCTTTGCACCTTTGCGCGGGGCAAGCCCGGGAGAGATAGAGAGATGGAGAGAGAGGGGGAGAGAGAGAGGGGGAGAGGGAGAGAAAGAGAGAGACCGGGAGAGAGAGACAGATTCGCTCAAGGGTTGATAACACACACACGCATACATACATGTTCGACTATGACACCCTTTGGCCTCACAGGAGCCCAGATCATGGCCTTGAGAGGCGTTTTACGTTTTGAGCCCCTCTTGAGACTTGAGACTGGGGTGCTCTCCTTGGGCCAGCCGCTTAGCGCGGTCGATGCGAAAAACCACACACACACACACTCTTATGTCCTCGCGACGATCATCCTACACTGAGACGGACGTCTGTTCATTGGTCAGCCGGTGAGCGTTGTCGATACACACGCATATCAACGTGCTCGCGATCATCACCCTGCACTGACACGGACGTCTGTTTATTGGTCAGCCGGTGGGCGCGGTTTCCTTGCAACCAGTAAACACACGACATACACACCACATGCACGTTGTCGATCTCTATCCGGTACTACAAGGCTGACGTATTTCCCCCATAGTCAGCCGCTGAACAGAAGATCAAAACCAAAACCAACGGCACCAAAACCGACACAAGAAGAGAGGCCACCCATGCATACCGCCTTCACCTTGGTAAGCCTGTCAACACAACCAAAACACCAGCACAAAAGTCGACACAAGAAGAAGACCCACCATGCAAACTCCCCCCCCCCCGACGACTCACCGGCCGCTTGTGCTGGTGGCTAGACGGGTCGGCGTGGACGCCGGTTCCAGGCGGCGGCGGCGGCCGCTGCCGGCTCCGCGCCCCCGCCCTGGAGGCCTCCTCGGCCTCGCCCTCACCGTCCTCCACCGCCCTCACCCCGACCGCTACCGCCGTCGCTACGGCAACCCCATCGCGCGGCGCCGCGGCGGCTTGTTCTTGCCGGTTGGCGGGGACGGAGAGCACCACCTCCGGTGTCATTACTGCCGCCGATGCCTGCTCCATACCCCCGGTCACCGCCGTCGCCGCCGCCGTCGCCGCCGTTGTCGTTGTTGCTGTTGTTACCGAACCCGTGGTCGTTGTTGTCGCGGCGTTCGTGCTCACCGGTGTGATGGAGGCCATGCCGCCCGACCAAGCGGCCGCCATCGCCGCCGCCGCCGCCGCCGCCGATTGCGCGGCGGAGGTAGCCACCGCCGCCGCCGCAACATCGCCGTCACCGTCGGGGTGCTTCGACTCCTCCTGGTCTTCGGCGTACGTGGCCAGCCCCGAGGCCGAGTGCCCTCCCCCTCCGGGCCCGTGGCGGGAGGCGTCGCGAGAGACGTTCCGGGAGGTGTTTCTCGACTCGAAGGGGGATGAAAGGATGCTCGTGGGTGCCGGCATCCTTTCCAGCTGATCCGGGAATATGATAAACGGCGTCGTTAGTGGCAAGGAAGTAGTGCGTTGCGGATGATCTCTCTACCAACAAAGCGGCTTAAGCACTGAGGGAACGCTTGATTGGGTTTTTTACCCCACACAGCCCGGCTTGCTCGGCTTAGCTCCACGCTCTCGTACGCACGCAAGGACTTCTTCGAGGCAAAAACCGCAGCAGTAGAGCAAAAAGCCAAGCAAATTCGACCGCCCACGTTGCACAACGCTACACTACTGCCGATGCCCTCTGCAAAAAACGGCACGCCTGCTCCTGTGGCTGCCAAAGAGTGTCGTGCTGGCGCCGGTGCAACCACTGCTGAGTGAGGCCTGCTACCTGCGTTGTGCCAAGGCCATATATCGCTCACCAACCCTTGTGAGTTGCTTGTTTCTCGTTATTATATCTACCCAAAGTGCAATCCCTTATTTGGGTAGTTGGCCTGTGACCACGGGAGGCGTCCGCATCAGTTGGGCCGGTAAGGATGCCAGCAGGTGCATGAGCTGAGCACAGACGGAACGGTTGTACAACAACAACAGAACAGCAACAGCAACATACCCGGTCCTCCCGCGTGCGTCCCAATGAGAGGTGGACCTTCAGGCAGGGGTGGCACACACGATGCCGCTTAGAGTCCCCGCCGACCAGCTGCAGCCGCTCCCGGCTACAAGGGTCGCAAACCGCCTGCCGCGAAGCGCGATCGGGGTACAGCAGTCGGGGTCCCGGTTAGCGGTCGATAGTTGTCACAACGACTGGGGTTGTGTCTCGAACAGGTCGTCCTTCTTTGAAGTTGTGCTTCTTAAAAAATGTTATGACCGCTATTGAGGGTATCGCCCCTAAACCGGATTGGCAGTTATACAGTAGTTTGACGACCGAGGTGCAGCGGCGGCACGAGATTTTGGAACCACTACAATCGTGTTCAGGGCATCCCGCGAAACACGGAACCGCTGAAGCGCGGGACGACGACTTGTGGCGGACTTGGTGAACATGAAGCATATGTTGCTAATTGAGGGTGTTGTTACCCTCGTGGAACTGCCTAAGCGCGGAACCACGACTAGACTACTGCAGTTGACTTTGGTGAACATTAACCATTGCAATTGAGGTCGTTTTGACTCTCGTGGACACGCCCTACGTACCGCACCGCTCCACCCGCTCTACTTGTATTGGTATCATAGGTCCGTTTCGTCCGGCTCCTCCATCTCTCATTAGAGGTGGGGCCTGGTGGGTAACCTCACGCCACGCATACAAGCAAGAACATGTGGGTCTCGCAGAAGTGTGTCTGAGATAAATGCAGGGCTGACTCCAATCCAAGCGAGGTGAGCTGTCCGTAGGACATGCGTGCGTGGTTGGCTTATTGGAAGAAATGTTTGAAAACGAAGAGAACATGAGCACGGGAAAGCAAGGGCCCGGCACGTGGCGTGTGGTCGTTCTGTAACTCCACATCGGCCCTCAAAAGGAGATTGTAGCACCGACCAAGGTCTCCTTACAATATCGCATTGTATGGGGGACTCGCACCAGTAAACAATAAACCTTACCAGCTCGAACACGTACCAAGCCAAGGGTGACGAGCTTCGATAGCTTCTGCCCCACCTCCAAGTCCGTTGCAAACCCGAGGACAGCGGGGTGTAAACAACACACGCAAAGGCAAGGATCTTCCAAGTACAGCATCTCCACCCCGCCGACACTGCTTGCGGTGGTCTACTTCGACCGTATGGCGGAGTATTCAATAACATGCGAAGAGAAAGAAAAGGACCCCTTTCTACTGCTGCTGTTACTCTTGTGGTATGACCTCGAACGGGTTCCTTCAAGTCTCTCTTGGAGTATAGGAAGTACGTACTGTTTATGGGGATGCGCATGTACGGGTTGCTGCATAACATGGTCTTCGGGAGATAATTCCTACGAGCAGTAGAAAATATTCCTAGAGTAGAAAATACACTCCCATCAATCAAAGAGAGGCTACCCTTGATACCGCAGCAGCAGTCCAAGAGTATCATACATTTCACATATTGCTTGGACAAACGTCAACGCGTCTGTGGATAACTGATACTTGCTCTGCTGTGCGAGTAGCTGCGGGAGGTGCAGTACCTGTTCCGTGTTCTGCCGCATCGGGGTCATATCCCTTCCCGTCAACGGTCTCGCAATCAGAGACAGAAGAACCAACGGCGGCTGTTATCCTTACAACACTTCGCCTACCCCCCGGGGGGTTGGAGATCGGAAACCAAGAGGGAAAAGCGTGCACCCAACAAGCATGTCACTTGCGGGTCGTACGCACCCCAAGGGGCGCGGAAATGCACGAGGCTGACTCTGATGCCCTTGGTTGCAAGCTGCAACTTTGTTTTCGGATTTCGTTCTCTGGTTCCCGCTGTGTGACCACTGCCGCTGTTGCTTCGGCGCTCGTCGTCACGTGCATGTATACAACAGCAGTGTAGTATGCATACTGGCATTGAAGAGCGCATCAATTGAGGAAGACAGACGTGCATGAGACAAACCCCCGTCGAGCGACAGGTCAACACCAGTATCCCCGTGCGGTGCGGCTGGAATTGGCGGAGGGGGAAGGGAGAAAGCCCCCGCCGGTCAACCAACTTGCAAAACACTTTCTTTTGTGGCTGCAAGATAGCACAAGCATGCACCTCCAAGCACAACTGATATACCGGGCAGTCCAAGCAACCATGGCTTGGGCAGCAGAAAGGGGAAACAACGGGGGGGGGGGGGGAGTGCCACGGGGAATAGGTGTAGCAGATATGATACAGGTTCGCTCATATCATACTTGCGCGCATGCAGACGTGCCCGCGGGTCGGGGTAGGGTTCCCGAGCCAAAAAAAAAACTTCAACAAGTTTGAAAAAGAGATCGCTCTGCTTTTCTCATTTTCTTCTTCGTCGCAACCCCAGCAGCAGGCAGCGGACGCCATCCGAATCAAATCACACAGCCCCTGTTGCCGGCGTGGCGACTGCAACCACAGATAGAAAGGCCACAGGTGTCAAGAAATACCACCCCAAAGCACACACACAAAACACTGACTGCTGCTTTCTACCTGCTTGCAGCCCCGGCAGTGGTGGCGCCTCAGTCGCCACGTGAACTGAACGCCACATGCGGAGCAGGACTTGCTCCCGGTGCCACCGACACGGCCCCCGCCCGTGACTCCCGTGGTGGATCCGTCCATGTTCTCCCCGTTCATGAGCTTGCTCGAGCCGTTAGATGCGAAGGAGCTGTACAGGCGCCGGGAGCTTGCCGACCTCAAACCGTCGACCACTTTCCTGGAGGACCGTGGCCCTCCTGGTCCTGCTGCTGCTGCCGCCGCCCCCCGCACTCCACCTCCCGTGGTGCCGCGCTCGGAGAGCAGGCCACCCACGCCTGCTCCGCCGTAGACTCCCGTCGACCGCGACGGGACCGGAAGCTTCACATCCTCCGTGTCGCTCATGGGTCTCGGGCTATCCTCTCGGTCTACAGCCGCCAGCAAACAAAAGGTAGACGGAGGGAGAAGACAAGAGAGCGGCACACGTGCTCAAATTGTGAAGATGAGACGACGATTCTTGCTCCATGGCCCCCATCCCCCCCGCCCCGGTCCGTTCATCTCTGGAATGATTCACGGAGACCCCTAGAACTTGTTTATGGCGGCCATAAACTGGCTCTTTCCGCTAAAAAAAAGTGAAAGTTAACTTTCAAAACGTATATTATATACATCCGAACTCGCCATGGAATGAATAATGCTCAGCCGTGGCATCCCAGAGGGATTATTCAGTGTGTTTCCCCTGATCGGGAGGTCCTCGGAACGCTCCTCCCTGCGGTGGTGGTGTGGTGGGTGTGGTAATACCTCGCCCCATAATAACTCCACATCATGTATGTTTTGAATTTGTCGGTAGAAGTTAGGTAGGGTAGGAATCATTTTCATTTTCATTGCCGAACAATTCCTGAATTCTACAGCTAGCTAGCTACTACATTTTGTTTTCTTTTTCGAGTGGTTGGTACCCTATTTTTGTTTGGTTTACCCGCGGCGTCGTATGTGCCGGGTTTTGAGACCACTGGCTCCCCATTTTTTGTGGACTATTATAGAGCTATAATGTGAGAAACAACAACGACAACAACAGCAGTCTACATGAGAAAGAAGCGATATTGATTGGTTGACGCAAATAAATCTTGTACTGTCAGTACCGTTGTTTGTGGTGGTGAATGCAAAGTAGTAAGTCCAAACCGCAAGGAAAGAGTGTGTTGACTGACCGTGAGGGTGTAGCACATTCAGCGTTGTACATGTATAAAAGTATAACCTTCGGAAAACACGGGGCTACTGGTCCCAGGAACGGTGCTGTTAAAAGTGAAAGTGAACTTTTGCCAAGAATACTTCCCGAAACCGTCTAATTTTAATGCTGGTCATCTCAAATCTACATGAATGCAATTCATGCGCTTGTTTTTGTTCGTGCGCTACACTTCAACATTACGTCGTGTGGAGGTGCCAAGACCAGATCATCAACTCCCAGGAGAGATCCTATGAAGTGCATGGCGGGTACATGTTAAGACTGAACACACACACATATATATATATCTCACAAACTCTCCAGACCGCCTTGCACAGCTCGATCGCTTCACAGCCAAGAGGATACGATACGCCGAAGGAAAGCTAGCTCTCCTCGGCGAGATCGATCGATCCAAAACCACCCGCTTCGGCACAGACAGTTGAGACCCTGGAGGAACGGGCTGTGAAGGTCGGTCCAGGGAGTGTGCGTGGTATGCTGGGAATCGAGCGCGCGAGGTCTGGCGCATCAAGCGGCAGGCGACAGGACGGAACGCCACGCTATTTCTCCTTTCGTTTTGTATTCATCTGTGACCAACCAACCGCGGTTGGTTTCCTCCTCTTCTTCTTGATTGACGTCCCACACAGGACGATACCAAGTACAATTCAATGCAACATCAATGGTCCGTGGACCACAAGCAATTCGGCCATCCCCAACCAAAGCCATCGTAAGGAATACCAGAAAACAACCCTACCCCAACGCTCCAAACACCACCCTCGACCCGTTCTATATTTTTCTCTTCACAAAACCTGATCACTCCTATCTTCTAAAGGCGCCTTGCCATCCCCCCACTCCTTAGTAGAGGTAAGGTGTGCAGTAAACGATTCTGACGATTTGGGGCATGATAATGCTTTGCCAACACCCGCCCACACGATATGGCCGATATATCCAAGCCCACGGCCTCCTCTACACCAATCGACCACAAAAACACAAAAACTGCATGTTCAAAACTGCTGCTGCCGATCGCTGTTTGCAGCGAAACAGGGACAATCGATCGAAGGCGAGCAAATCAACAAGAAAAACAAAAAAATGACGAAATAAAAGGCACTGCGAAATACGGGAACAGCAGGTGGGGCCCGGGCAAAGCGACCATTACGACCAAAGTAGTTCTACATCCGCGCATATTAACCGCCTGCTGCCTGCCTCTGCCTGCCTTGACTGGCATCGCGGAGGAAATGCAACGGACAAAAACACAAAAAACCAAACAAACACACGGCATGAGGTGCTTGCAAAAGGAAACAAAAAAAATACTACGTGAGCACGACGAGGAGGATGGATGCTCAACCAGCAGAGAGAGGAGATGAACAAACAACAAGCAGCAGCAGCAGCACCGGTAGTGCAGCACAATCCAATGAACCACAACCATCCGCCATCTAGTCTACCCATCTATGATCGACCCCTCACCCCCCCCCAACTTGGCTCATTCTGAATCTAAGCAGTCACCGCCTGGCATAATCCCTCCCCAACCTCTAACCCTTTCAACTCCAACCCTGGCACAAGAAACTGAGGGATGGGGATACCGTTTTAGTTGCAAAGCGGCAGTCGGCAATATTAATTAAAGGCTAGAGCGAAGCTCCCTACGTGTCTTGTGATATGCACCTTGCGCCGCTACCATCGCCCCCGAAAAAAAAGAAAACGCGCGAAAAGCATTGCCGAAACGAAATGACAAGACGTCCCCCTCGAGCTTCAAGGGTATGTCAGTCAAATGAATACCCTTCGGCAATACTCGCTAAAAACTCTCGAAATGTACTTTGTGTTGATTTGAGTCCCCGTGCGTGAGATGAGCAGCCGGCTCCCGAGACTGTAGCCCCGCCATCGCACCCATACATGTGCTGGTAACCCCCGACTTTGTCTACATTGCCCGGACCTCCCACTCGTCCCTTCTCAAAACGACAACCTCTGCGTTTGTTTGGAGTAACATCGATCGGAGGCCGCCACGTTCGGAAACTCCTTTCTGACCTTCCCTCCCAACTCTTTCTTTCACCTTCGGTCGTCCACCCCTCTCCACAACCTTGCCCACCCCTTTCGCCTTTCGCCACCCCTCTCCAAAACGTGACAGGACCGAAACGATTGTCGTCATGTCACTGCCGTCGTCGCGTGTGTTATTTTCCCACCGACCAACCGGCGACACAACTACTGCCTGGAAAAAATACATGGAGGTGTAAAAAAGCGGGGTCAATTGGAGCCTGCCCTCGGGGGGGTCGAGGCACAAATAGACCACACATGCATAGGCCTCCTTCCAACGAAGGGATGCGCCCCTTGTCACAATCTGCGGTAGGTCCTCGCGAGACACACAGGCAGTTCTCTACACGATGGGCGTCGCGCATGCTGTCTCTCCCGAAGGCGAGAGACACCGCAACCACAGCTAACTGGTACACACCCACGCTACTCGAGAGGACCCCCTCTCTTCGGCTTCTTCCCGTAGGACAGAGAGAAGTCCGCCGGCTCCTCTTCGCCATCCCAGAGCAGGCGGCTCAGGTGCTCCAGCTGGTCGGCCTCGCGGCTGTTCGCCACCGGCTCGAGATCCCCGATCACCACGCTCCCGGCCCCGTTGCCCACCGGGAGGGGCTGCACGGCCTGCTCCCTCTCCCACTCCTCCTCCGCCGCCTGCCGCTCGCGCCACCGCTCCTCCCTCTCCTGCTGCGCGAGGTCGAGGGCGCTGCTGCTGTAGTGGCCCATAAGCCTGGTGGTCCTGCTGCCGCTGCCGCCGCCGGGGGCGGCGGCACCGCCGGTGGCGCTTGCTCGTTTTCGTCGCCTCTCCGCCGCCGCCTCCGCCGCTGCCACCGCCGCCGCCCTGGCCCCGTCCGTACTTCTCCCCGAGGAGGCGGGATTGTTTTTTGTCTCCGCCGCCGCCACCACCGCCGGAGGAGCCGTCGTCGTGGGTGGCGGAGACTTTTTTCTTCTGGTGGTGCGGGCCGCGACGCCGGCGGCCTGGGCGGCGGCGGCGGGGTTCTCCGCCTTAAGGGCGGCCGCCTTCTCCGCGTTCTTCTTAGCCAGGCGGTGCTTCCTCAGGTACCGCGTCAGCTCGTGCTGCAGCTCCTCCTGCCCGTGCTTCGAGAAGTCCCACGGCCGGCGCTCGTCTCCCTTGTAGTTGTCCACGGCTCTGCCGCCGCCGCCGCCGTTGCTGCTACCATTAACACCCACCCCCCGATCCTGCTGCTGCTTGTCGCCGGTGCTTCGGCCCGCTCCGGTCGTCGGATAGCCGGACCTGCCCCCGCCCCCCCACAACTGGCGCTCCTCCTCCTCCTCCCGCCGCTGCTCTTCGCCCTTCTCGTCTCGGACTTGGTTGAATCCCATCACCGTCCGGCCGCCGCTGACGCCGCGAGAGCGGGCGCGGTCGTCCCGCTGGTGCTCCTGCTCCATCTTCGAGAAGCGAGAGGCCCACATCCGGCGCTCCTCCTCCTTGCTCCGGAAGAAGCGGCTGCCGCCGCCAGCGCCGCCAGCGCCCGCGGAACCTGACTCGTTACCCTTGGGCTTCATCCAGCCGGGCTTTCCGATCTTGGAGAAGTCCCCAACCACCCGACGGCTGCTGTCCCTCTCCCTGGCGGTCCTAGCATCGCCGCGGTCGACGGCGGCGCCGGCAGCGTCAGCGGCGGTTGAATCATCACCCCCGTCGCCGAGCCTGCTGCTGTTGCTGATGGCGCTACTTGTGCTGGCCCTGCTATCAGTGGCGAGGCGTTTGTTGCGCCTGCTCTTGCTGGGGTCGTACTTGCCCTTGCTGTAGCTGGGGGTGCTCGGCTCGTAGACCGACAGGTACGACATGAGCTTCTTGCGCTCCTCCGGCAGGCAGCCATCCCTCAGCTTCGCCATCGCCTGCGTCGTGATTATTCGCACCTGCATCGTGAGGCGATGGCCAGCAACAGCCCGAGACAGCAACACGAGCACGCAGCAGGGAACAAACGAGATAGTTGGTGTTTGGTTGTGAGGACGGCCACAAGCGCGCTACCGGCCAGTGGGCCATCACAGCGTCGTCGTGCTTGTTTCTTCAATGCTATGCACGCTTTCCATTGGTGTTGCTTCGTGCGTCTGCCCCCCCTTTATCTCGCGTGCAATACCACCCTTCAAAATAGCACTTTCTCTTGAAATGGAACTATCAGGCTACCAAGTGTACATGCGACAATTTTTGTTCTCATCCACACCCTATCCGTAACCATACACAACATAACAGAGCGGCCGAAGAACAGATAATGACGCTCGACTCCATCGCTCCGGACGGCTCCCACCAGAAACAACCGTCGCTCTCACTACATACCACGACAAGAACAATGTTAACAGGATCGATCTTCGACTCGAAAAAAAACAATTGAACTCACGTCATCAGGGTCGCAGAAATCCATGATCGCAGCCGTTTGCTCGATCGAGTTGGTGACTCCATCGTGGAGCCCGTACCGCAGCACCAGACACTCCCTTTCCGTCGCGTCTAGCAGTCGCACGAACGCGCTAGACAGGTCACCCCTCAGCGACGACTGCGGCAGTAGCGAACACAGGGGCCGACGAAAGGAGAGAGAGAGAGAGAGAGAGAGAGAGAGAGAGAGAGAGAGAGAGATAGCCAGCCAGAGAGAGGGAGAGAGTGAGGGAGAGAGAGAAATAGAGAATGAGTCACCTGGCGTAGGATCGGGCTGTCATAGATGATATACGCACTTCGATGACTACGGGAGGGTTAGGTTAAGGGCTCGGGGTCCAGCGTGACGCCTTTCGGTAGGGTTGGGGAGCGCTTGCCAAGATCAAACAGGAGCAAAGGCCTCATGGGACTCGTTTTTCGTTTTCCTCCATGCCTCCGGGTTTATTAAAAGGTGAGTACCGTTTATAGGTAAGCTCGCTTGTAACCACGGGAATCGAGCCGGTCATACGCTTGATCAGTACGGACAGATGAAGATCGTGGGTAGAGAGATCGGAACGGTGTAAATTGTGAGACACCACCACCAACAACCAAAACAATCTCACGAGCGCTTTCTCAGTCCTCCGATGTGACCAAACCAAAACACAGCCGTTTTTTCTCCCATTCGACTTCACCCCATTCCCTTCGACTGCTGTGATTATGTCTCGAACAGGTATTAGAATAGTGTTCTTGTGGTTGGATGAATATTTCTACATGTAAGCGTTCATGCATATTTCTAGAAACATTCGTTGTTCAACACAAACACAGAGCATACACTTGCAAACCTGGATACTCCTTCTGCGATTGAATGCATATTTCTAGATGAAGCGTGTATGCATACTTCTAGAAACACTCATTGTTCAAAGCAAACACAAATCACACACTTGCCAACCTGGACATCCTGTGATTGAATTAACATTTCTAGTTGAAGCGTATATGAATATTTCTAGAAACTCTCGTTGTTCAAAACAAACACAGAGCAGACACTTGCAAACCTGGACACTCCTGTGATTGAATGGATATTTCTAGATGAAGCTTATATGCAAACTTTTAGAAAAACTTCATGTTCAAAGCAAACACATGCTAACCTGCGATTGGATGTATTTGCACAATAAAATACCTACGCTGGTGAACGGTTATTCACCACTTGAGGGGCCTATACTCGGTAACAAAGAAAGGGTATTCTCATCAATAACTACCGTAACGTATAATATATATGGGGAGGGGGGGGGGGGGG